TTTACATTTAATATATGTACTTTTTTTCTCTATTTTCAGTTTTGCCATTTTGTTCTGTGTGATCTTAAATTTGACATTCATTCATTTTTTTTTTTGGCTCAGTCTCGGCGGGGGTGGGTGGGGGTATGGGGGCATTGGGGGAACTGTATTTCTGACGGCAGACACATGAACTAGAAGAACGTTTTCCTCTCGTGCTTGAACTACATCTGACAGTTTATAATGACGTTAATACACACTTTTCAAAGTTGTGTGTCACAACAAAACACTTTGTAATCCACTCAAAACGCTATTGAAACCCATTTTCAGAGCGCAAATTACCAGTAGTAAATGCTGTAAATGGAAGTTCTAAACATTCTACCTGAAAACGCTGGTCGCTATGGCGGCCTCCATGCAGCTGCTAGGAAAAGGTCTATAGGAGGATTACATTAACGTTACTACATATTTTGCGAACTAGTGCAGCACGCTGACACAGAAGGCAGAAAGATTGCTAATGAGTGCATGTTAAATAAAGTATATTCTGAGTACAAAAGCGATGTTCTACTCTGTTTAACATGAATGCGGGGAAGGCAGCATGTTGCCTGTTACATCATTTGAGATGCCATGTTGAGCGTTGCTGCACTGAAAACATTATATTTTGTACTTATTCTGTTTTATCTTTTTAGATATTAGACTAAATCGTTCAGTTCGTAAGGCGTACGAATTACGAAACAAATATGCGTATTGTTACACCCTTATATTTACACTATTTTTATTTTATTATAATTTTTTTTATGTGTTGATCAAAATTGTAAGCAGTGTTTTATTCTTTTTTTCTTTTGCAACCTCGGTTTTCCCGATGACGTTTTTTTGCTGCCATTGTCAGTACAGAATCTCTCGATATACATCATGTTCTGTGATCTTTGCTAATTTTCTATCCGCTTGTTGTGACATATGAAATTCTGTTTCCTGCTCCAAGCCACTACTCATTTGAATTGGAAAAAGTTTAGTTTAAGACCACTATATCACACAGTACAGTGAAATTTATATAAAAGCATGGTGTACACGCAATTCTCTCTGAACATACTGCATCATAGACATTAATATTTTAACAATTGCTGTTGAAAGTGGTGTTAATGAGGCCAGCAGGGGCGCTTAACCTGCAGTCTGTGTGAGTCCTAATGCCCTAATATAGTGAAGGGGATGCTATACTGCCAGTGAGCACTGTCTTTGGGATGAGATGTTAAACTGATGTTCTGACTCTCTGTGGTCATTAAAAATCCCATAGCAAGTGTAGGGGTGCAACCCCAGTGGCCAAATTCCCTCCATTGGCCTTTACCAATCATGGCCTCCCAATCATTCCCATCCGCCGAATTGGCTCAATCACTGTCTCTCCAGTCCAGCAATAGCTGGTGTGTGGTGAGCGCACTGGCGCCGTTGTCCTGTGGCTGCCGACGTATCATCCAGGTGGATGCTGCACACTGGTGGTGGTGTGGAGAGACTCCCCCTTACTGATTATGAAGTGCTTTGGGTGTTTAACCATACATGATAAATGTGCTCTATAAATACACATTACATTAAATGGATATGTATATATATATTGTGATCATGATTTTTGAAAGTATTACACCACTTTGTAAACGTTTATTATTAACATTTGTTTAGCTTCCCTTCACAGTTTGGTAGTGTTTGGACTCAGAAGCCGCTTTGCGTGACGTTACACTTAACAAGTGGATATGATTTCTTCAATTGTTTGTATGTTTGTGTTAGTGACCTTTTGTTTATTTTATGATTAATAAGCAAGTGAAAACATGTCAAAATTGACATACAGAATTGTTTATATCAATATGTTCACATTTTAATCATTTTAAAATGATTAGTTGGTAAACGTTAAACTGACAGTCCAATAGTATAACAAAATAACACTATTTCAACAGCACTGGTCACAGACATGGGAAAAGATGTACCATTACTCGTTAACCTTTTACTAACAGTTGTCTCTGCATCTTTGCTAAACTACGGTCAGTTGCTATCATTCTGTCAATAACAGCCACTGCTAAAAGAAGAAAAAAGAGATCAGATCGATACTTCGTTCAGAGGTTCATGTTTGCCCAAGAGAATGATCCAGGCCTGTCTGCGTGTTATTTTTCATTCGGTGGCCACAAACGTGTTCATAACATCCTGTTTCGGCTCATGCTGATATTGACACCAAATATGTGCCCAAATATGGTTAGTGAATACAATTTCTACTGTATTGTTGGGCAAACAGTGTGGGTGTGTGGGAGGGAGCGAGAAGAAGGAAAGTGCATTTTTTATTTTATTAGGTTATTTTGTTTTTGTAAGTGAGAACGAAGAGGAGGGGAAGAAAAAAAGAGCCAGGCCAGTGAGATAGAGAAGAAAGAGGGAAATGAGAAAATAGACTTCAATTGTCTATTAGAGAGGTTATTGGCCAGAGAAGATTACATTACCTACTCTTTCTGCGAGCTCATTCTCTTTACTCCCGAGAGGCCACCGTCTAATGAGGAGGGTTAGTGTTTAGGCATGGCTATAGCCTCTTACCCATGATGCCTTTGAATATACACAAAGCAATCTCACTCTAAAGCTCTCCAAACTTCATTGCAAAACACACAAAGAGGGATTTAATTCTCGCTTTTCAGCACGCACCTCACTCCGCTGCACAACTAATGAAGACAGCGCGCACATACACTCACCAAAATGAGACAAAAACAATTTTCTTGTCCAGGTTTTGAAAGCAGCGGGCAGAGCAGCGGAATCACATTGGCCGTCTGTGACCCTATGAGAGAGAGATAGAGCAGGTTATGAAACGCGGACTAGAAAAGGATACCAAGGAGACCGAGAGATAGAAGGAAAATTGGACGAGGAACGAGAGGGATAGAGAGCGTGTTGAATGCCAGAGGTTCTCCAATTTCATCCACAGCAATCCAAACCACAGGCCCTACAGTTCTCCTCCCCGACACAGCACTGCCAGCATCCACCACACTTAGCCACATCCCACACCAACCAGCCCAATGCCCTGGCCGCCCACACCACTGCACTCACGGGTTTAGGAGGGGCTGCTGGTCTGTAGTAACTCGGAAATTTTGTGGGCTGCTCTGAAAAAGCAGTATTGGGAGAGGTACTTTGCCTGTTCACAGGGGAGATGTGTGAGTTCAAGTCAAACGGATCAAACCGCAGGTCGGCTGAACTGCGCTGGGTGCTGGAAAGCTGTTTGCAGACAGTTCACTATCAATCTGGTCCGGGGAAAAAGAAAACAAAGAGTGGTGTGTCTGCGTACAATCTTAAAGGGATAGTTCACCCCAAAAAATATTCAATTTACCCCTTTTAATGACTTCTATCAAAGACTATAGAATACACAAGACGTGCCACTCATACAGTTTTGAGTGCGGAAATGTGTAATGTCAATATGGCTTGTAAACTTGTAAACAAAGAGTCGCTGTCATTTCTGGAGGAGATTCACCATCAAGACCAAGTGGTGAATTACTTCTGAAGAGCAACGCGATTAGATGATCATTATCCAGAGGATAATAATATGTAGAATGGGTGCGCACTAGCTAGGGCAACCTGAAAAAATGTTGGTTTTGTTCTAGGGCTGTGCGATTTGAGAAAAATATAGAATTGCAATTTTTTGACAGATATCGCAATTGTGATTTGATTTGCGATTTGAGTAGTCAAGATTAAGCTCAAGAACTTGTGTAGTAGCCTTTTAGTGTTAGATAAAAATAAACTGTAAACATATTAACTTACTCCAACTTTATTCAAATTGGTTTGTAAATATTCAGAAATTAAAAAAATAAGTTCTCTAGAGCAAACAGTAAGCACAAATAAAATGACCATACCTAAAATGACCATAAACAAGTTCAATTAAATTTAGGGAGATAATGCATCTGATTATAAAAAATAAAAAAAAAGTAATAATAATTACAAAAATACAGAACACTCGGCAAACTTAACAGTTTGCAAAAGTTCTGATTGGGCAGAATGAAAGTGTGCTCACTCAATTGGCTAGTAAGACTATCACACGCAGATGGCAGTCACGCATTTGTTCTGGGTGGAGGAAATGAAATGAAATAATACCATATCGCAGCCTTTTGCCATTAGCTAATTGTGCAGTGAAGAGTTTGTGTCTTTAATAAACTACGGCAGTTTGTGTTCATTGAACAGTAAGATTGATTAATAAATCCATTTGAAACAGCCCCTTAAAAGTCACGGCAAGCTTTCAGTTTCGGGCTTTGGCGCGTTTTGCACTCACACTACAAGCGTACCGCGCCAAAGCCCAAGTGAACCGCGCTCTGGCCCACCTCTTCCAACCGGGCCAGGGCCGGCCAAGTGAACCGTGCCTGAGCCTGATTCATAGCACTCACACTTCTCAAACAATCCGGAAAAACAGGCCTGGGCATGTTTCGGATAGCATAGTGTGAGTAGGACCTGAAACATCTTGTGAGTTAGTGGAGTTCCTCTGGTCGAGATTGAGGGTTGGCTCCGCCTTCTAACCTAATTGGTTTTGAAAATCTGTCATTGACTTCTTTGGACCCTTTAAAAATCATATGGCTGCCATTTAGAAGTGGGCTGCTGCATTGGACTGGACTCTTTTTAAATTAGCTGTATTTAAATATTTACATCCAACATTACTACACTAAATTACATATTCATGCATGCACATGCATCTGAAACACTTCTGATTCCTGAGTACTACATTTACATAATTTTGCTTTCATTTGTTTAAAATTGTGGTTTTCTTGGATGTCAATCTTTTTGTTATGTTTTTATGGTTTTATGTTGTTATTTTGATGTTGGACCATTTGAGTATTAGTTAACTGTGCCTAATATCTGTAGTTACTGCTCCTTCGACGGACATTTAACTGACTATAAGAAACTTTAACAACAAGTACTACTTATAACCTAATGACAATTAGGTGGCATGTAGATACAATGTAACTTAATTCAACAAACGAACCATCAAATTAAAGTGTGACCCTCATTAACTATTAATAATTAGTAAATAGACCTTTTTCACAGCGGAATTGAACACCGGAAGCGCCCTTCGAAGCCGTGTATAGTTTTTTCCGGTTTTGCTAGCAGCCGCAGAAACATGGCAACTTCAGGGCATCGAATGACATCCTCACTGTCAACTTTGCCAAAATTTGGACAAGACGACGTTGTTCGCTTGGTGAAGGACCACAGTAAGGTGAAAGGCTCAAAGCTGGACAAGGGATACAAGTTGTTCTTCGAACAGTTTGTTTTTAACTACAAGGGTAAGTAAATTGATAACATTATGTCTCAAGTATTTTGGTAGTTATCCTGTTAAGTTCTAATGTTAGTTAATTTAGTTGAGAGATTTTTTTTCTGCAAACCCTGTCTAAAACTGACACAGCCTAAATAAAACAGCATTTAAAAGATTATACCGATTTGCATAATTTGTGCAGAAAAAAATGTCCTACAAAAAGCGTTTGTTATGTAGGTTACTGTAATGCGTAGTGAGCAGCATATGCTAATATCAAGTCAGTTGTAAGCAAGATTAACTTTTTAACATCCAGCAGGATTAGTTTTATGTTAGTAGTTGTCCATAAGCTGTGCTAACCCCCTCCTTCCTTTGAATGCAGTGTCAGATATAGTGAACGACGAGGTAGTTGTACAGGCAAGTTGCTATCGGTCAATGAGAAAGAACGAGGAGCCCCATAAATTACAGGTTGCTTAATGCTCGCAAGGTTTCAAGTCTGGAAACATACTTTGATTACTACGCTGAGAAAATAAAGCTATTCGTTGTTGTGTTCAGTGTTTGTATACCATTCTATTAAAGTGTTACATTTTTTTTACACTTTGGTGGTCCCTATTGCACATTTTGTTGACTAAAAGTTGAATTGCAACTACATGCCAGTTACTGCTCATTTGAGTATTAGTAGACTGTCTGCTTAATATCTGCTGATACTGCTCCTTTAACACATTTAACTGACTATAAGAAACTTAAGTACGTAAACTTACACTAACCCCAACCTAACAGTCTACTTATAATCTATGAAGAATTAGTTGGTATGTAGATGCAATGTAACTTAAATTCAACAAAATGTGTTGAGGTACCTTAAAAAAAATGTGATACCCATTTTCCCACTAACCTCTACATTTTTAAATTTTGCTGCAAAAGTTGCAAATATCTTCAAAACACTCAGTTTGTAGCGATTGGGGTGTGTTTCCAGATCTTTAGGTTCAAGTTAGTTTATGTTCTTGTTCAAGTTCATTTTGTTCCACTGCTGTTGCAGTTTTTCCAGTGTTGTTTCTTGGCCAAATTATCCTTATGTATTTATAGTAATTATTATTTTATTGTTGCTTATTTTATACTTTAAGGTTGTACTGCAAGCAGTAAGTAGGCCTGTTGCATTAAATGGATGTAGCTGTTCCTGTGCAGCTGGAAAGGCCTTGTGCAATCATGTGGTGGCACTGCTTTTCCAAACTGCACACTACAGTACCATGGGAGTGAAGACAGTACCAACCGCACTATCATGCACCAGTGCTCTTCAAACATGGCACAGGCCAAGGACAAAGGTAAGATGTCTAAACCAAGGAAGAATCTTTTCAAACACACACACACTCACACATACACACACACTCACACATACACACACACACGCACACACACACACACACACACACACACACACACACACACACACACATATATATATATATATACTCATTTCACTACATGTGATTTAGAGAAGAATAAAAAATACATGAGTTTACTGTATAATGTCACTGTAATCAAGTTAAAACATTTCATCAACCAAATGTATTAGTTTCTGTTTTTCATGGAAATCATACTTTTTTATTTGTTTAGATTGTAGTCTTGGCATTAGCAGAAACTACTTATTTAATTTGTGTAAGAATGATTTTTTTGTTAAATATAAAAACTTACTTTAGTCTATAACAAAAATGTCATTCAGGGAATTAGACCTGAACCCATGGATGAAGTTGTGGTGCGGAAGCCAAAAGCAGCAGGACGAAGTTGTGTTAAGTCTACACTCTATCAGGCATACCCAGGTGAGATTGTACACAGACACACAAACACAATCTCCCTTAACTTGTTTATCACCTATTTGACTTTCTTTGTTCTGCTGGACACAGAAAAGTAATTTTGAAGAAAGTTGAAAACCTGTAACCATTGACTTCAATAGAATTTGTTTCTCTTACTATGGAAGTCAATGGTTACAGGTTTTGAGCTCTCTTCAAAATATATTTTTCTGTGTCCAGCAGAACAAAGAAAGTCAAATAGGTATTAAATAAGTAAAGGGAGATAAAATTATGTCAGAATTTACATTTTCAACAGAAGTAATAAACTAAAATGTCTGAAAACACACAAGGGCAGGTAAATAATTATAACATTTTCATTTTTGGGTAAACAATCCACACTCTCACACAGACCTGTCTGTCAGCAGTATTGTCACTTTCTTTAATTGTCTATTTTCAGGACCTTTTCCTGACCCAGCACTGCTCTCCGTTGGTGATAAATTGAGAGACCTTAGACCACAGCTTGGTATTTGCTCAATCTTGTGTGGCCTCTCAAGCATGGAATTAGTGGAATCAAAATTTGGTCAAGTCCCAAAGGGCTCGGTTCTCTCTTATCAATGCCCCACTGCAGTATCACATGAAATTTGCAAGCATCCTGAAGCCCCTTCATTCCCAAAACTGCCATTACATGGCTATAGATTAGACAGGCACATGAATTACGTTCCCAGTTTTGAGGAGTATTACCATATTGAGAGTTTGATGGTTACTAGTGAACTATCATGCATTATTGAGAAAAACACAAGAGAGCAATCAGAGAATCCACTTTGGAAAGAACTGCGACAGCCACGCTTAACTTCCAGCAGATTTGGTGAAGTGTACAGTGCAAGAGGGGATTCATCATCTGAGGCACTTGCAGTCAGGATGCTGAGAGGTGTACGGCAAACATCCGATATGAAAAGAGGCATTGAACTTGAGCCAGAAGTCCTACAGCTGTACAGTGACTTTTGTGGTGTAAATGTGTCACCTTCTGGATTTGTCATTCACCCTGATGCACCATACCTGGGTACTAGTCCTGACGCTAAAGTTTATGATCCATCTGAAAAACCACCCTTTGGGTTGGCTGAGGTGAAATGCCCGAATGTTAACAGCATAGCAGAGGCTACACATATCAAATTTACTAATGGTCAGGCTAAATTGAAAAGAAACCACAAATATTTCTGGCAGGTTTTAGGCCAGTTGGCAATAACTGGTTTGCCTTGGTGTGATTTTATCACGTCTACTAAAAGTGATCTCACAGTAGAGAGAATTTGGAAGGACGAGTCCCTGATCAACGATTTAAAGAAAAAACTTGACCTTTTTTATTTCAACACTTACATGCAAACTTACCTGAAAAACCAGTAACATACACATGTAAAAATTGCCACACACACCACATGTATTGTTCTCTTTATGAGTTTGATTTATTCATTGAAAATGGGACATAGCTGTATATTAATGTTGTGTGTGTTTGTGTGTGTAGATTGTAGATACATGTTTGTGTGTGTGTGTGTGTGTGTGTGTGTGTGTGTGTGTGTATACATTATTGGATATGTACATTTTTATGCAAATATTCAACAATCTATTCATCTACAGAACTTATTTATATTGTGAAGCACTATCCAATAAACATTTCTTAATGGAGTTCACCTTTGTTCACTTCATTTTTTACACACAGATGTGGTCTTTTGTATCCAGTGGATATTGGAAATTGGACATTAAACAGCAGGTTGTCCATAGCTGATTAACAGAACCTGAAAGTGTAAGAGGAACAGTTGTGTCCCAGATATGGTACTCTTTTATTCTCCTGATAGCTCTCTCTACCAGAATTCTTAGACGGGCAATACTTTGTGTTTTTTCTGTGTTCTCCTTGCTGAAGCATGCACCTCTTTTGAATGGAGGGATGATGAGGCTTGCACCAACATCTGACAGCATCTGATCAATGACAAAGCCTTTATCGGCCATGCATGCATCTCCAGGTTCAAGTAGTTGGAGAATTCCACACTGCTTGGTTATTTCTTGGTCAGATATTGACCCGGTGAAGAGCTTGGAAACAAAGGTGATTACACCACATGGGGCAATACCTATCAGAGCCTTGAAAGTGGTGTGATTTTTGTAGACTGAAAATGTTTCAGACTGTAATGTAAGCGATGATGGAGATTCGCATCTAATTTCTGTGCAGTCCACAATCACTCTCAGATTTGGACAGTATTCTGCAAATTTAGCTGGCATCAGTTGTGTGACCTGTTCCCTTGACATCCAGATAGGCAGTGACCCCAAGACAAGGTATAAATAGTTGGCCCATGTGATGATCACTCTGCTCACAGTGGCGGTACTGATGCCAAAAATGTCTGCTATAACCTTCTCTTTAAGGCCAGCAGCAACACGACAGCAGTACAGGAACAGCTCATCCACAAGCGCAAGTTTACGGGTTGAACCTCCTTTTTCAAAATCCACAGCACCACTGTTTCTCTGTGCTTTACTCCAGTACACTAATTTGGAGGCTGATGGGGCAACTGATTCCCAAAATATCCAGAATACTTTCTCAGATGGGAATCGAGTGTAAAATCTAAAGTCCTCATCAGTTGCACAGTATCTGTTAATGTGTAATTTTGAGGCAGATAGATCACAGAGTTGGACTTCTAACTGTCTGATCTTGGCCTCTAGCTCTCTGATTCTTTGAGCAGCAGCATCCAAATGTCCTGAAAGGTACAAAACATATTAAATAAAAATATATACTAACACACACACACACATATTTCATATTTTATTATAACACATATGTATGTAAACTGTCTATAAATACAGTACATCCGTTTATAATGTAAATATAATAACTTATATTTTTAAATAAAAATGTTTTCTGCTGTACATACCAGGTGATGGTTGACATGCATAGTCGTGGTCTGCTTGAGGGAGTATCGGCACAGCTACGGCTGGAGCAGTGCGGTCAACACGAACATCAACACCAAGCCGAGTACTTGCCCGTTGAAAAGGTGACTCACGTGTAACTCGGTCTGTACTCCAGTCATTCCAGGAAAAAAGGCGAGGTGCAGCACCAGGATTTATCTTCCTCCTTCCACTTTTGGTAGTGTAAATATCGTCCGCTTTGAAGTGCATACTGCACACGAACGTACTCCCGCGTTTAATTTGAAACAAAGGACCTTCATCCCGTCTGATAAATTTTACCCATGACTTCCTCTGTTCTTCATCTTTCGGGAAATCGTGGAAACTGAGGTAAGGGTGACGTTGTTTTGAGTTTGAGCAGCCGGGAACGCTGCAATAACAGCGATGAGACGACTCAGCCATTCTTTCTTACTGCGTTGCATTGAACCGGATGTTGTGATACACTGCTTCGCTTACCGGAACCAGGAAGTGTGAAAAAGGCCTATTAGGAGTTTATTTAGCTAAATCATTTAATGGTCTGTAATATAATAATATTATGTACCTTAAAAAACGTGACCAAAATAGCAATAGAAATGTGTTTTCTGTGTCTTTCGGTTCTGCCAAAGTAAAAAAAAAAATCTTTGAAATGACATAAGGGTGAGTAAATGAGAGAATTGTAATTTGGGGTGAACTATTCTTTTAATACTGCTAATGGAAGATTCAATAATGCAGTGCAATAGCAGAATGATCATATCTTCAGGGCGATTCGTGTGATGGTACTTTGGTGCATTGGGTTGGTTGCAGGAATAAATGGGGGGTGAAATAGTACGCTGAAATCTGAGTTGAGACGGCTTTGAGTTTGAAAAGATGCCTCAGGGCCAAATGGAAGGATGCAACGAAATAAAAAAAAGTAGTGGATCTTATTGAGCTCTTTTTTTTCCATTAAGACCTGAAGTTTACAGAATTACTTCAATGACTTAAGTGCTAATCAAACTAAGGGACTTTTTTGATTTACCAAATACGATCACCAGCCAGTATATTACGTACAGCTTGCTATTACCAGTATAGACACCCATTTTCCTTTAAACACCCTAAATTCATTATGCCATAGATTTAACAAGAAAATTTAACAAGGTTTGCTGGAAATATTCCTCAGAGAGATTTGATTCTATATTCGCATGATAGCATGACAGTCACATCAAATTCACATCAAATTCCCCATGTCCTTTCCACTAATCTTTCATTCCACCAGAGGGGCTCTTCACTGAAAAAAAATATTCATTGGGTTTGCTCAATTTTAAGGTAAGTGGTTGCAAACAACTTATATGGCCTGAATGTAAACAAACTAAATAAATTCAGGTATGTTCAACTTATTTTTTTGTTTAAACTCAGCCCATATATATTGTTTGCAACTAGTTACCTGAAACTAATTTTATATATCTCTACCCAAAGATGCTAGTTAAATGTATGCACAAAACTGGAATATCGCATAAAAGACATGCGAATAAAGCAGAACTTCCATCCAAGTAGTCACAAAATTGTCTCTTTCTGATTAACTGCCGCCAAATCAAATTTACAGTCAACAGTAAAAGCTAAATTTGCTGCTGTAGGAGAAGCTGTGTGAATCTTTTCTTCATTTAATAAATTACTTGTGCCTCAGAAGACAATATGCCAACATGTAATAAACACGTGGTGGCGTTTAAAGACCTGAGACGTGGAGCACAGATGCTCTTGACAGTTCTGGAGATAATTAATAATACAATAACACTAATACTAAAATGGTTAAGGCGTTGTAGAATGTCCAAAGCAACATTTAAGATGTTTTACAATGTGCTCAGCTTGCTAGTTTATCCATTCACATACATTTTTGTCATCACATGATCTCTTATAGCAAAATCATATGACTTTAATGTGCATACTGGAATTTCTTAGTTAAAAAGTGTTTCCATCATAGTTTATGCACATTTTCTTATCGAATAAAAAGTTTTTACTACTCAGTTATGTGCATATTTTTTTATGTGCATTTTCATGATTTATGCACATCTTGGCGTTTCCATTAACTGTTTTTTTATGCGCATATCCAAGATGCGCATAAAAAATAGGTGGATGGAAACGTAGCTATAGTAAATCCAATTAATCGTTTTTTTAATTTTTTTCAGTGTCCTGGATTTTGAGCGCATTGTCACTTTCCAGGAAATTAGACAACACATTCAACATTGTTGTCATAAAGGAATAGATATGGTTAGATGGCACTAAGCATCCCAAAATATCCAATAGTATCTGGATGCAGCATTTATGATGCAAGCTGAGATTACATCACTCAGCGATGCAATGTCAGATACATTGCACTTAACGGAGTGAGTGACGTCACTGTGATGGGTAGGGTTAGGGTTGGGGTTAGGTGAGCGCATTAAAAAGCATTGGATGCAGCTCAGATTGCGCTGCATCCAGACCACTCTCAAAATATCCACCATTATCCTACCACTACCTATCCGAATACAAGCCAGGATGGATTCATGCTTTATTGCTATTCACGCCAAATTCTGACCCTAATGAATGTTGCAGCCAAAATTGAGATTCATCAGACTATGCAACATTTTTCCATTTTTTTCATTTTTTCCTGTGTTGCGTCAGTTTGCTGTTGTTAGCTGTCAGAGGTGGTACTAGTGTTTTTTTTTTTTGTTTGTTTTTCTGATACTGTAGCTCATCTGCTTCAAGGTTTAACACGTTGTGTGTTCAAAAATGCTGTTCTGCAGGCCTCGATTGTACTCTTATCTTGCTGTCAACATGAGCCATTCTGGGCATTCTCTTCTGACTTTTGTATTTTTACCTCCACACGAGACACTTACTGTATATGTTCTCTTATTCCATTCTACAAAAACTCTGTGTAAACCACAGCAACAACTGAGCACTGAGCCAAGCCAAATAAAACAATGAATCAAGGTACTGACCTTCAGAAAACTTTCCTTCATTCATTTACCTGACGATTTTATCAAAAGCGACTTGATTCATCCTGGAGGCAGTGCAAATTATCATGGTTGGAGTGAAGATAATACAAAGTAAGATGCAAAGTTAGGTAATTTTCTTCACACCAATTGTTTGTTTAAGAGGCGCTCATGAACCATAATCCAGTATGCATGATGATTTTGTTTGCCTTTTTTTAATATGCACTCAAGAGTTTTGAAAAAAATCTTGCACAGCACTCAAACCGATTGATGTCAAACAACCTCGGCCCATACCAAAGGGTCATGCTGGACATTTGAAGCCCATTTATGCCCAATAGGTGAAGCTGTTAAAGGCTCCCATGGCAATCATGCACCTGTCTGTTGAAAGCAAATTGGGAAAGTAAATAGCATAATAGCACAGACCTCCGCATGTGTTGTTTTCCCACGGCGGTGCAAGAGTGCTCAAAGGTGGTGTGCAATTGATTTCATGCTTCTTAGAGAACTCATACGCTTGTCTTTGACGCCCTGGAGCATTGTGATGCCTCTAAACAGTCAAATTAGCATGAATTAAGTATCCTGGACTGAGCTCTCGCTGTTCTGATGACTGTATGTGAATGTTTAAAGGTGAATGGCTTTTTTGGCTGCGGGAACTGTGTGGATGACTATGGTGGACAATGAGATGGACAATCTGGCTCTGGGCAGGAATGGACAAAGCGGACTAAAGGAAGGAAGCTGGAGTCTGAGTCCACAGAGATAACGGCTGAGAGAAGATTCACTCCAAACTACATGCTATTATGGTAAATGCTTCCCATCCTCATGCATGACACGCTGCTTAGACAAAAGATGCTCTTCGTTGTACGGATTTGTCAAAGATATGGGACATCTGTTTTCTATGGCCATTGGATTCTGTAGCACTCCAATGAAGGACAATGTAAGAGAGATATGAGTTACTAGCACTATTTTGATGCTTAAGTCACAGTGATGGATGAATATAGTTTCATATATCAGAAAGCAAAATAAAAAAATCTAGCTACTATATACAGTTGAAATCTTTAATTATTAGCCCCCCCTTGATTTTTTATTTTTATTTTTTTTAAATATTTCCCAAACTATGTTGAACAGAGCAAAGAAATTTTCACAGTATGTCTGATAATATTTTTTCTTCTGGAGAAAGTCTTACTTGTTTTATTTCGGCTATAATAAAAACAGTTTTCATTTATTAAAAAAACATTTTAGGGACAACATTATTAGCCCCTTTAGGCAATTTTTTTTACAGAAAAAAACATCTACTGAACAAACCATCGTTATACAGTAATTTGCCTAATTACCCTAACCTGCTCTCTAAAATTAAACAATTGAAGATTAGAAAAGCGTTGCCTGGTCTGATGAGTCTCGATTTCTGCTGTGACATTCAGATGGTAAGGTCAGATTTTGGCTTCAACAGCATCCATCCTGCCTTGTATCAACGATTCAGGCTGGTTGTGGTGTAATAGTGTAGGGGATATTTTCTTGGCACACTTTGTGCCCATTAATAACAGTTGAGCATCATGTCAATGCCACAGCCTACCTGAGTATTGTTGCTGACCATGTCCATCTCTTTATTACCACAGTGTATCCATCTTCTGATGGCTATTTTCAGCAGGATAATGTGCCATGTCATAAAGCGCAAATCATCTCAGACTGGTTTCTTGAACATGACAATGAGTTTGCTGTACTCCAATGGCCTCCACAGTCACCAGATCCTAAGATAATAGAGTACATTTGAGATGTGGTGGAATGGGAGATTGACATCATGGATGTGCAAAATCATGTCAGTATAGACCAATTTTTCTGAGGAATCTAATCTAGATTAATCAAAGTCCTTGATTGCGATTAACAAGTGAATTATTTTAATCGATTGATAGACCTATAATGAACACATCCCTCACAGATCTCTCTTTTAAATGAATATTTTCTTTAGGATGCTTTACAAAACCATAGTTTTGAATAAACATTAGATTAGTCAGCACTGAAACTAAAACTGAAACTCATCTAACAACAACTACAACACAAACTTAGGATCACAATGCAAAAATAAATACACCCAAATTCAAATTTTGGGGGGAAATAAAAAATGAAATTTTAATAAACATGAAAAATGAAGAGAAAATATTATGTTTTGCAAAATTGTAAAATAATTGCAATATGCTCAAATTTCAATGTAAAGGCAGACATTGGATTTTACATAGTTAGCTTAGAAAAGCCTACAGTGAATGAAGTTAGGGGACTACAAAGAAAATACATCCAGGCTAGTGAAATCACAAGCTCTTCAGGTTACTCGCAATCACCACGCGCACACACCGTTTGCAGCGAAGGGGTGTGTCCAGAAAATGTTATAGCAGAGAATGCTAAAATGCTGTCCAAATGCTGCTATTTCCACAGAGCTTCTTCTGTTTCTGTATTTTGGCTCCAAAGGACATGATACAAAGAGAGAAATGCTTAGTTTAATTTTATGTTCCAGAGAATGATAAAAAATATATATAGCTAGCATTTAACAAAGGATAGATTCTCT